ACACAAACAAGGCCCAATTCTCCTGCCAGATTTCTGGAAATCACACGGCACCAGGCACCACGCAGTGTGAAAGTTTGTAAGGAGGGTGTCGTGCCAAGAGAGAGACAGCAAGAACAAGGAACAAGCACCACGTTGGGACATTTCACATGATTAGATGAAAATGCACATACCTCCTTTCTTCTGCCGGAACTCCTGAACGGACCCGGGTGCCCACCCATCAGAAGCTGTGGGAACCCCTCACAAGGCTTTGCTATTTATCCTACAATGGTCGTAACTCCTTTAGGACTACATGATATCAGAAAACACACGAGAGACCAATGTCTGAAGTGAGCTGTCACACACTCAGAAGAGTTAAATTTTAGTCATACAAAATACTTATTTTCAGCACAAAATTTGTTGAGTTAAAAATGGCATCTTAAAAATTAATAACTCAAAAAGAAATTAATAACTCATTTCTAAAAGGCTTGTGAAGAGACATGACAGAGGACATGCCAGGTTGTAGTCACATGAATGTGTCTAACGTAACAAAAACCTCAAGGTCAACTACAAACACAGCCTACTGGCTGGCTGGTTCTACCAGCACTTAGATCAAGTGATGATGATCCCACCACCGCCAGCCCAGGACTGAACCCTACCACCGGTAAGGAGTGACCTTCCATAGGTTTGCTTTTGTCTGTTTTCATTTTTCTATCTACTGATATCATTATTTGGAAATCACATCAAACAGGAGTTATTATTCCATGACACCAGGGAAAAGTTTTATGTGTCTGTATATATATATGATGCTGTTGTTAAATGTCGCTGAGTGGCTTCCAACTCACAGCGACCCTGCATAGTAGAGCGGCTGGTGGGTCTGAACTGCCCAACTGTGTTCTGTGGTGTGCAGTCCAGCACATCAACCAGGAGTGTGTGTATATGCATATGTGTATATATATATAGTGGCGGTGATGGTGGTTACGTGCCGTGGAGTCGATTCTGACTCATAGCGACCCTGTACCGGGTTTCCGAGAAGGCAAATCTTTAAGGGAGCAGAAAGCCTCATCTTTCTTCCGCGGAACAGCTGACCTTGCAGTTCACAGCCCAACTCGTGACCACTACGCCTGTACAGTTTTCGAAGCAGTAAATCTTTACGGAAGCAGAAAGCCTCCTCTTTCTCCCGCGGAGCAGCTGGTAGTTTCGAACTGCTGACCTTGAGGTTAGCAGCCAAACTTGTAACCATTACACTACCAGAGCTCCTTATAAAACAATATGTTAAGACTCCGGTATTACAGTTTCCAGACCATAATTGTTTATTTTAAAACAGGAAATGAAACCACCACATTCTCAGGCTTTCTCTGCTCAACTCTGGGACCAAAGAAGCAATGTGGCAGGCTGGCAAATACCCATTTTCACCAAACAAAAATAAACAAAGAAGAGCAACCTGCACAAACCAACATTCTACGCAGGCTGGCACAAAGGGCGAGTTTCAATGAAGACACTAGTCTGAATCAGAAAGAGCAAAGCAAAAAAGATGACTCTTTGTTCAAAAAACGAAGCGCCTGTTTTCTTCTTTATAAGAATAGATACACGTCTCATACTGCCAGGGGATTTCAAGATCTAGCCAGGCCACAAGGAGGGGACGGCAATGTATTCTTTACATTCAGGTATGAATATTTACAAGTGAACATCCAAACCAGAGTGTGCCCTCTATAGATGGGATTTCTAGCCAGTGAACAATGTCCAACATTTTCAAAGTAGAGGGGAACGAACGCTCAGTTGACATCATGCCCTCGCCCACAACCGTGGAAGGTCTCGAAATGTGAACTCCAACACAGCCCTAATTCTACCTTCTCCAAGAAATGCATGCTTATCGCAGATGGATGGAAACAAAACATTTACTTCAAATTCCATCCCTTTCAGCGAGCACACGTGTGATCCTATGATCCTATCCTCCTGCACACAGAGTCCAAAACCCGTCTGCGAGAGGTGCAGGAGCCGAAATGACTTTGCAAGTACACGGATTTGCTTCTAGAAGAAAGCACACTTCTGAGATGCATGTTCAGAAATACTGACGCCATCTTTCGTATTTGGTGCCAATAAAGCTACATAAAATGCCAGAAGCATTTTAAAGCTGATAATGAGATAGGAAGGGCACACATACTGACTCTACAAATTAGAGACACAAGGCAACAGACAGACTTGAACAGAGGACCGTGTCTTAGATTCAAGGGCAGGCTTAGCTGCCAAGGTCTGAGTTAAGAACCACCCATTTGTGATTCTGACTTAAGAGAAATACGAGCAAGAAAGAAACAGTAGTGAGGAAAATTGCGGGGTAAGGGCAAGCTAGAAGACAGAAAATGCTACATATTCAATTCAGGCTATAAGGAAACTATTTTTCCTTAAACTCTTCATTTTTATTATGATTTACTTCTTGTTAAGTGCCATCGAGTCGGTTCCAACCCACAGCGACCCTGTACAGGGTTTCTGAGAAGCGGCTGATGAGCTTGAACTGTTGACCTTGCAGAGCAAACCACTTTGCCGTCCAGCGCATTAACCTACAGCACAATCCCAGGACTCCAGGTTAACAACCCAGAGGACTGTTAAATGCCTTTCTGAACACAGTTAGTCTTGCTACTGAGAAGCATTTTCGAGAATGAGGAGTTCCACTGTCGGGGCAGGGTCTACAAATGTGTGTTCATTCACGGTCTGGCTTTTCATCAGCAACTAGTCCATGCAGTTGCTGGTCATTGTCACCTTGAGGGCAACACTACAGAGCTCTACCACAACCCTCTTCTGTGTGGAGAAAAAAAGGTGTTAACAAGAAAATGACAAACTTGATTGCAGACTGTCTGCGGTGCCTGGAATACTCTGAAATCAAGTACAAGCACTCCAGCAGAGAAAGCAAGGCGTCAGGCACACAGTGCTGGGCGCCTGTCGGCTTTCAGAAGAAAGGCTGTATCAGATTAGGGTTTCATACCATGTGAAACCTACGCTCCTGGCTGGTTCCCGGCAAGAATCCTAATTCTCTGAAAAGCAACAGTGCCACCTGCTGACAAGAGCCCGAACACACCAAAGCCTTAGAACCCGGAACAAGGACTCCTGGACATGGGTGGGATAGATGGAGAGCCCCTGTGCACACACCTCTGATGGGGAAACAGTTCACCAGGCGTTAGTACTCTCCACTAAAGGTCAATTCAATGCAAAGACAGACCTGGTTATTACAGGCTGCTAATGGCCCCATCCTGTTTACTGGCTCTAATGCTCACGGCTTCCGTGTTAACTGGTACTGGAGTGCCCCCATGTGGGAGAACATTTCAAGCTGGCGTGGTGCTGCAGGAAAATGCACCTGATCACAAGGCCGGTGGTTCAAACCTACCAGCCACTCCTTGGAAACCCTATACAAGGACGCTGTAAAGTCAGAACCAATTCAATGGCACTTAACAACAACAACGGCGTAAGCGAACCCGATTTCTTTAGCAAGTCTTCACTTAGTACCACCATACTATAAACTTGTAGGACCCCAGTTAGCTACTGAAAAACACTTATCAAAATAAATCAGTCAACTGTGGGGATTGTGCTGTTTTTTTTTTTTATTGTGTTTTCAATGGAGAAATACATCATCTGTTTACAAAATAGCTCTGGAAAAATACAAGGAGTACAGATACTATAAAACAAAGCAAACTCCAGTCATGAGACACTACATACACATGCGAAAGCAACAGTCTGATCTTCAGGTTAGGGAAACAAGAATTAAAAAGTCACTACACAGAAAAGGTCCAAGTTTCCAGCTTGGCAAAACTTGGGTGCAGTTACATGAAACGTTTTTAATAAACTGAATTTTTCCCTCCAATGTGTAAACAAAATGACAAGACTAAATCTGTGCCTGGCAATTTCAATCTAATTCAGAAGCTACGCAAAACACACAGACACCTCATACACGTCACCTGTGAGCGTGACCATCGTCTTCCTTGGGCGGGCAGGCGGGCGGAGGGAGGTGACTGCGGAGCGAGGATGTGGAGGTGCTGTACACTAGATGTCGTGACGTGAAGCAATGGGGACCAGAAAGCCTCGGTGAGTGCCTAGCCAGAGGAGAGACCCCCTCCAACTCTGGGGAATTAACTAGGAAGGACAGGAAGCTGTGCATGGCTGCAGGTGAGCGTGAAGAACGCACAGGTGGTAGAACAGGGCCAAGTGCAGAAGCAAGCTCGTCAAGGCAGCCTGCGGCGTCCACTTTGTCCACATCCAGGATGAGGTTTGGACCCAGGCCGAAGCAGCCCACGTAACCCCCAGAGAAAGGGGTTCTTCTGAACTGTGGGGCTGTTTTTGTCTCTCCGGAGGAGGGAGGCCTTTACAGAAAACAGTTCCTAATTTTTTGAGAATTTAAAACAAACCAAGATAGGGGGCTGACTAGATGTCAAGTGCTGGACATGATTTTTGACTGTTTTACTACAGTAAAATGTACCCACAAATTTTGGTAAGCCATTTAAAAGTCTTGGAGAAAATGCCTTTTTGCCCACATGTTTACTGAAGATCAACTTTACTCCAGACACAAGTTCTATGGAGTGTACAAAGGTCCTCTTAGTTAGTGACCCAGGGTCATCGAGGCTACGCTCATGCTGCCCAGACTCGGCTTCAGCTGGAAATCGAGCCTTCTGGGCCATGTGGCCACAGGGACATGAGTTTCATTTCACGGCTTAATAAAATACTGGCATTTTGTTTTATATGAAGTCAGTCCTACCTTGTGCGTACATGAAAAAGAAAACAAAAACAAAAGAAAAGAAAGAAATGGGGGGCTGGGGGGGGGAGATTTCTTTGTTTCAAAGACAACAGATTAATGGCAAAAGAAAATGAAGCTTTGATAAAGGGCTCAAAGATGACTATTTAGCTGTTTGATCGCTGATTGGTATGCACTATAAGCAATTCTATCAATAAAACTAATTATGAGCCATCGAAACCAAGTGATTCCCTAGTCACCCTTTCAGTGTCACAGCTCTGCCCCAGAGCAGACATCAGGGGCTGAGCCCAGTCTCTGGGTGCAGCGTCAACCTCACACGATGCTATCCAATTTGAAGACGAATGGTAAAGAAAATGCTTCAGGAAAAAACGAAAATCCATCAAGCTGAAAATCTAAAATTAGTTCTACTTTCTAATAAAAAATACATAAAAGTGCATCATCAGAATAAGGAATTCTTATGCCAGTTTGTATTGCAAAATTTCCAAACAACGCATCAAACATAAACCCAATCCAGATGTCAATTATGGATACAAATATAACTTGAGGTGGTGTTTTTTTTGTTGTTTTGTTTTTTAAAGGCAGTAGTCTTTGAAATAGTTAATGCGACTGTTGCTAACACATTAATAATAGTACTCCTGGCTTCACATACGAACCTGGACTTCCGATCAAGTGCTGATTAACCCAGTGAGGGGGCCGCCCAAAACGCCTAATCCACGTCATCACGTCTAGTCTCGTACCCTCCTTTCTCCTTTGGGAGCATTTGAAGACAACAGGTTGAGTTGGCAGATATTAGTTATGGACCCCTGAGGTGATTTTTACCGATTCAATCTCAGTTTTATTGAATTCTTGATAACAGGAATAGGATTTGCAGGGAGAGCAGGAATATCAGAAAGGTCTGTACTGGATGTTTTCTGGGGAGAAAAGCAAAGAACAGAGCATCACTCAAAGCCCTGCAATTTCAAAATGAGAATGCCTTTCTGCAGCTGACGCTCTTAAAGAATCCGTGGAGTGACCACAGAAATCAAGGAGTCAAATCTAACAGATACATGAAAATGGAGTCAACTTGGAAATTAACATGCCGACACTAATTACTTGTTCTGTACTTTAAAAAAATTTCAAAGAATTACGAAGTATTTTATACACACACACACAGTAACCTCCTAATTGCAAATACAATGTTTAAAAACCAGCTCCTCTCAAAATCACCTATCATACAAAAGTTAAAACCCTCTGAAAGGGCTTCAAAATATTTGTGAAAAAAACGGAATTCAAAGAAAATGAAAAATGCCCAAGACCTTTTTGAAGCCCTGTCCTGTTTACTGGATCTAATGGGATCAGCTTCAGTATGAACGGGTACTAGAGTGCCCCCATGTGGGAAAATACTTACGCTCACCTCTTACACAGAAACAGTGGCTGCGAGCAATTTATGATTTTCTGACACTGCAAATTTAAACACTTAAACTACACAATTTAGCAGCATCCTTCTAAATTGGGGGAAATGTTATCATGTTAAAAAATAGATTAAATAACTCTACTGCCTTTTTAAAAATATTCAAAACAATGTTTTTAAATGGAAAACCTCACACCCCCCAAAAGTGGACAACAGGTCTCCTGACACCTCCTCTTTGCCCAGCTCTGCAGGTGGTTCTAAAAGCAAGCCCTGTCCCGTCCTACCAGCTCATCTGTGAGGACTTCAGGTTCTTGTGGCAAGCACAACCATATCACTGCCACCTCTGCAGAAAGAAGGAGTTCCTGAACCTCACTAAATAGATGGAGGCAGTCTTTTCAGAAGTCAACATAATCTATCTTTTTTTAATTGGGTGGTTCTCTCTCTAGGACTCCAGGAATCCTTCCATTAAAAAGAAATTTCTCCTCACTCAGGAAAATATCTTCGAGGCAAGCACCCATGGGGACTAATCACTATAGGAGCCCAAACTATGCAAACAATCCCCTGGGGAGTGATGGGGCGAACCCGAAGACAGGAGCCACAGCCACCAACCAATTAAGAGTCATCAATGAGTCTGCGCATGTACCAGGCACTACACTGCCTAATGTCATTCCAGGTACCCCTGCAAACAGTTCATTAAATAAAGGTGAGAAATAAGACATGGCAGAAACCAAATAGTGCTTAGGATCTTTAGCCAGCAAAACACATCTTAAGTGAGGCACGTTGGAGGCACACTATGGGGCACATTAGAGGCAGACTGTGAGGCACAAAGCAGCGAGACGCCATCCCAATGTGGACGCAGTAACACCACTAACAACTGCTGGGTTCAAGATGACCCGATTCAGCATCCACTCAGATAAAACGCTGTGGGGTTTACTCAGTTTGGAAGGACTCAGGAAGGAAACATTAACAACTTGTAAAAGCAAGCCAAAGTCCCCACACATCAATGGTGACCTGGTGCCTGGTGCACGTGAAGGACGGCCACAGGGAGAGCTTCTAGGACAAACGAAAACATCACTTTCAAAAACCAGGGGTTCCAAGAAATACCTGACTGAAGACCAGTGGTGAAAGTGGAGGAAGAAACAAATGTTGAAAAAAACTGAAAGACCATGTCAATCTTGCATACAATCCATGGGGAAGCTCTCTCCTCTGGTAGTTCAGCTCACTATTAAAACCCTTCACCTGAATTGCTGTGTTATTAATTGCTGTATGTTGCCATCGAGTCCCCTCTGACTCATAGCGAAGCTTGTAAATCTCTGCGTGTGGGAAGCCTAGTCTATCTGAATACCACGCTTACCACTGGTGAGGAAGGCCTCAGTACCCTGCAGTATCATGGGGTACTGTAGAAGATGGGTTGGCATCTTTCCCCCTGAATTTCAAACCTGTTCCACCTGCGTGTCTATCTGCACACTGACTCATAGGTCACCCTCCCTCCTCCAAGGGCCGTCCCTGCCTCTATTTCCTGCTGACCTCCCTCCCTCTCCTTGTGCACACTGCCTTCCCAGTCAACCAAGGGAACACGTGGTAACACATATGTTAACATCTTGATGGCACAAAGAAAACTCTCATCTAAGCCCACGCCCTCCCTGCCTTTTCTATGTGTCTCCTCCTCTCTGAGCTCACTGAAACACATCACACAGCACACGAGGATTCAGAACATTGGGAACTCTCGCCTTGCTTTTTGCCCTTAATACCTGAGAAGCCAACAGAGAAGCCGCTGTCTGAAGAGTCTCTGACGGAGCTGTACTTGTCTCTGTATCAAGTTGTTCCTGTGAGACAGAGGACGGAGAAAAGAAACTTAAAAGAGAATCTGAGAATGTAATTGAGTTTGACTGCTAATAAAAACAACAAACTGGAAAGCTGGGGGAATTAAGAGAAAGCTGAGGCTCCATTTCAGTCATCCATGAAACTTCACTGTAGGTTATTTCCCTGTTCGGATACCCTTAAATGTTCGCCACCTGCCCGCGTAAGTCTTATAAGGCATGATCAAAATACCTCGGGACTTCAGACTTTTCAACAAACAATAACTAAGATACACACAGACACATTAGAAATTGTTGCCCAGACAATAATTAACAGAATATAAGCTCAAGAAAAAGCTCTTGACTATAAGAAGAGAGAAAATCCAATCATCATTTCATTAGCAAATGCCATTTCTGTTAGCAGGAAATGTGTGCCCCGTGCCTATGGACAGCCCATCCCTGTTTAGGTTCACTCTTCTTCCTGTCACCAGAGAATGGTCCACTAGAGATGCAGGTGGACAAGATGTGTCTTTCCACAGCAGTACACAAAAGACAATCACATCAGGACACATATACACACAAATAAACACAAACAGCAACTTTTCACAATGCAATAGCAGAGGCGAAACCAAAAAAGTATTGCTACAGGATCAAAGAAACTGTTATTACTCAAAAATATCAAAATGTAAAGCACTACTGTTTTCCTGACACAGCCTCCCTCCAGGGCTGTACACTTCTAAAGGTGGTGTTTCCATCTCCCCAACCCTTGCCCAAAGATTTCTGTTAAATGGGCAGTTTGAGCAGCCTCAAGAGATTCAAATCATGGTCCTTCAAAATGTCCTTTGAGTTTTAGGAACAAAAAAGTCTGAAGGGGCAAGATCAAGGCTGTAACGTGGATGGGGTTAGGTTTCCTACTGAAATTCTCACAGGACAGCCCTGATATGCGTTAAGAATGAGCAGACACACTGCCCTGGTAGAAAAAACTCCTGAGTGCAACGATCCTGGCCTTTTTTTCACCAACAGAGCTTTACATTTAAAAACAATTTCTTTCTAATAAGTCGTGTAATCGTTCAATGTCCTTCATGAAACTCTACCATGATCAAGCCCCTGGGAAGCTCAGAGAACGGTCACCGTGATCTCTGGAGGCCAACTCTCTGCCTTGACTGTAACTGGCCAATCCGAAGCCACTGTTCTGATTGGACCTTATTTTTGAAACCACCCTAGTGAAACTAAGACAAGTGTACAACTGAAACAGCTGGCCTGCAGCCATCCATGACCACAGAGACATGTTTAAGTACATGTCTGGAGTAAACTCAGGCATGTATGAACTAGAACCCTAGAAGCAATACTTTTTGGGTTACCCTCACATACAATAAAATCCAAAACAAGGAAATATCAACTTTCTCCTATACAACCAAAACCAGCCGATAGTATTAATGCCCGTGCACACCAGGAGGGCATACAGATGACAGTCCTGTTGAAAACAACTTAGTAGTGTGCACCCACAGTTTAAAGCGTTTGCAGATTACTACCTCAGGAACCCCTCGTTCATGAATTTATCCTAAGGAAATAAACACAAATGAGTGGCAGTGACTTAACTCAAGTCCGTATTAGAGCAGAAAAGATCAAGTTCCCTTTCTTAATGTAACCAACTGCTAACAATAGTCAACCGGCCGTCTAAAGTGCGGTGGCTGTTGCTAAGTGCTGTTGGTTCCGACTCCTAGCGGCCCTGCAGAGGGTTTCTGAAGCTGTCAATCTTTGTGGGAGTAGCTGGTGGGCTCAAACAGCCAACCTTGTGGTTTGCAGTCCACCGCGTCTCCTACAGCTGTGGTTGGTTATGTGTTGTCCGGTGCATTCCAACGCATAGCATCCCTAGTACAGGGTTTCAGAGGCAGACAACGTTTACAGCAGCAAAAAGTCTCATCTGTTTTGCACAGAGTAACTGGTAGATTCAAACTGCTGACCTTGTTGTTAGCAGCCCAGCTCATAATTCATTAGACTACCAGAGCTCTGAACAACTGTTAACAGTGATTTGATAGATTCCATGATGTTGTTGTTATGTGCCGTGGAGTCGGTTCCGACTCATAGCGACCCTGCACAGGGTTTCCAAGGCTGTAAATCTTTACAGGAGCAGAAAGCCGTATCTTTCTCCCGCAGAACAGCTGGTAGTTTTGAACTGCTGACCTTGCAGTTCGCAGCCCGATTCGTAACCACTATGCTACCACTTTTTCTTGGTCCATGCACTAAGTAAAGATTACAATGCAAGACAATGGTGCATGTGTGCACATGCAGGCACACATGAAATCCAGAGAGAGAGACACCAAAACAAAAACACTTAAAGTAGATCTATCACAGGAAAGGGAATAATTTCTGAGAAGGAGAAGCTTCCTAATATTTCCACAACAAACAAAAAGGAAACAGGTTAAAACCTTAGATGTATTTCAATTTCTGAAAAAAACAACAGTGTTTTACAACTGTCGTGTCCACAACAAACCTCTTCCACCCCATGTGCTGCACACAAGCTGCATGCATCCTGAAACAAAACCAAACCTGCTGCCATCGAGTCAGTTCTGCCCCACAAACTGTTCCATAGGGTTTCCAAGCCTGTCATCTTCACTGGAGTAGGTGGCCAGATTTCTCGTGTGGAGTAGCTATGGGTTTGAGCCCTAAGTGCTAGCCCAAACCTGCTACCAAAAGCTGGTTCTCTATCCCTTTTTCTCATTCATCTTGGGTGGCCTGAAAGTCCCAGGGATACTTCAGGGACTAGTTCCTCTTCCTAAGAACTTTTCAATCGCTGCAGTCTGAAAGAGCATCTTCCTCTTGACCCTGACACCCAGACGTCATCAATCCCTTTGCTTTGCTTTAAGGATGTCAGTCAAAGCTGTCAATGTCTGACCTTTCCTACTTAGCAATAATCTCCTTAAAACCCCACTATTTGCTCCCTTCTCCACCAGCACCTAGTGGGACCTCCTATCTGAGGGACTCCATGTCCACATAATAAAATAACATTGAAATAATAGTGACAACAGTCTACAACTGGTACAGCAAGCTATGGTACACCATATCCCAGAGACATTTCTATCACATCTTGTGCATACATTCCAAAGGCTGAATTAGTATACCTTCATTTCTGTTTTATCATGTCCACTCAAAGCAAGACAGTTAGCATCTTCACTTGTTTCATCCTGTTTTTAAAAAAAAAAGCTTTATTCTCTAAAATGAAAAATTTCGATTATTTGCCAATTAATGCTTTAAATTTATTTTTTTTTTTTTTAAATAATGTAAGCCATAAAACTGTAATTATACCTGTAGGATTAAGTATGGCCTTAAAATCGATTAGAGTCCCTAAAAATAGACTTTTGCAATTAACAAATCAATTTCTTGACTCAGACCTCCTGAAAGGAAAGCAAGAGAGCCCTAAGGTACATACTGAAGCCTACTAAGTTACCTTTCTGTAAGAATAAGAAAATTACCTCCCTGATCACACGTTTAGAAAACACAACATCCTGGAGACACACACGCACACATACACTCGCACAATCAGCTCATGAGATACTCTGTACTGAAGACCTCTTTTTAAACTCTCTGAACATAGTTCACTTAACCATAGCGTCCCCCCCACTGAGGCAGACCAGTTAACAACCTGAAGAAATGCCCTCCCCTCGGTCTTAATATTTACATTTATTCTACTTCTGTTCAAAACAAACAATTTCTTTTGGGCAAGGAGGAAAAGGGAAGGCCAAAAATAGTTGAACTTCACACTCTGAGTGACCTGTAATTAACATTATTTTCTTAAGAAAAACAAATTTTGTGCATTCTTTTCTGTTTTATCCATCAAGCAGAACTAAAATGGAAACTTGAATGTGGCTTTAAGGGAAAAAACCACAGGGTAACCTATGTGTCAGAGATTTCATAGTAATACCAAACAGTTCCAATAAGAAGCCTACTTGTATCCTGCACGCATCCGATGTAAGCCATAACTGGTAAAAATCTCCAGACACTGTGGGCGAGTTAATATGGACGTGATAAATAACTGAAGTTATGAAAAGCCCTATTTCTGAGACCCACCGTGGCATATCTGTGTCTAAAATGATTATCATCTCTGATATTTGCTCCCAAACAGCAGGGGTTTGTGGTGGGGGTGGGGGGTGGGGGAGGGAGCAAGGCTGGATCTGTCTTGTTCTCTGTTGAATCTGGTGGTACAAATTTGACAAGGCATGACATATCACATCATTTTTCCATATAATCCTGGTAGAATAGCAAAGACTTTATTTTTATTTTGCTGTTGGTAAGTACTGTCGAGTTGGTTCCAACTCACAGCAACCCTGTATAGGGTTTCTGATGAGCGGTTGGTGGGTTTGAACCGTCAGCTGGCAGTTAGCAGGACTCCATTTTTGGTACAATTCCCTTCTATATGCATTTGAAAACTTCAGCATATGATGAACAGTAAACAGAACTAAACTCTACACCCACATACACACTGTGGAGTCGGTTCCCACTCACAGCCACCCTGCTGTACGGAGTTACCAAGGCTGTAAATATTTACTGGAGCAGAAAGTCTCACCTTTCTCTCATGGAGTAGCAACCCACCTAGTGAATTTGTAACTGAGAACAATCTGCATATGTTTTCTGGTTTGCTAGACACCCAGATATTAGTTCTCTAGATACTAAATCCTCATTAAGAGAGATTCTTCTGAAAGACTCAATTTAAGAGGGCTTTCAAACTGTAACTCACTTCTTCAACATTGACACCATGAGACTTAGGTCTGGGTTCTAGTCCTGACTCTGCCCTTCGCTAGCCACTAACACTGCCAGTTCCCATTCTGTAAAATGGGTCGATCAAGCCCATGAAGTCACCTAAGGCCCCGGGAGCCAGCCTGAGAGTGAGATTCGATCTTAAAATCCTGTTTTGGTATACAACCCCAGAGAGGTGCTAGAAGCAATAGAGGTCTTTCCCCCCACACACAAAAACTGCAAGGGTAGTGGGGGTGGGGTGACCTTTCTTAAATGTGACAGACTCACAGTGACCCTGTATAAGGTTTTCAAGGAGCAGCTGGTGAGTTTGAACCACTGACCTTACAATCCAATGCTTCCCTACAGTGCCACACTATGGACCCACTGACTGGGTATGTTGTTGTTAGTGACATCAAGTCAGTTCTGACTCACAGCAACCCTATATAGTGTTTCCAAGGAGCATTTGGTGGGTTTGAACTGCAGACCTTGAAGTTAACAGTCCAACGCTTATCCTGCAGCAGAACACCAGGCCTCTGTCACTGGGTACAGAAGCTCATTAGATTTCGTGTTGGTTTTCTTGTCCTGATTGGACCCGATGCCGTGGAGGATGTGGTAACCGCTCACTCATTCTCTCAGGTGGGTAGGGAGCCTCCACCTGCAGGGGAGGGGCCCAAATCCCGGCCTTCAAAGAGCTCATGTTGCCATGAGGGAGTCCAGGTAAACACACCACACCCAACACAACTGTTCCAAGCAGTTAAAGGAACTCCAGAGTGGTCTTCTCTGTCACCCCATTTTTCAAACGCAGGATTTTGAAAATAGTACTGAATGAAAAGCTGTCTGGATTTTGCTTCTAAGTGCTCCCAGGGCAGTGGGGAGGGACCGAAAAGGGTGGGGGAAGAACGGTGTAGGGTATTCATCACCAAAGAGGTGGAACGTGTTCATGGGGCCCACTGATGCTCAAGGTGCTGGGTGCAAAGCAGGAAGGAAAGCAAAGGCGAAGATGGCTTCTGCACTGCACCAACGACCCAAACAGTCAGCAGTACACACGATGTAGGTCCATTCTTGGGACAACAGAACTTTCAGAGCACAAATCTCTGGCTCAGTCTCCTGGAACTCAGATGGAAGGAGCTGAGCAGCAATGCACCCCTTACAGCCTCCCCACACACATCCGCACGCACACACGCACTCACCCAGGTGGGTTTTCAGGTAAGAGGTAACTGCACCCATTTGTCATCCTCATCTAGCATAATTGATAAAATTAAAGTACTCATTTTTAGCTAACAGTGGCAATTTCCTAAAGTTTCAAAACAAAAGGCTTCCAAATGAACTAGGAGAAAGAACTCTCATAAATGCAAGTTTTTACTCTTACAGATTAAACACTTATAATGATGGTCCTATCCCCTATATAAACACAGAAATGTAGATATACCCCCCGCACAATTTTAAAGCAGCATCGGTTAAGTTCCTAGGTAACAAATTCACAGTCAAAAACCACAGTGAGTGGGTCCTTTTGGACTGTCATCTCTGGGCACGTGTGGGACAAAAACCCAAGAGTGACTCCAGGGTTAGGGATGAGGGTCCTCAAATGAGCTACTTTAACACTCCACCAAAACTCCTACGGGGAGTTGCTCTGAGTTTGGGGCTGTCACAAGATGACTCAGCCACTTGAGCAGATTATCACGAACGTCCCAAAGCAAATCGGACTCTGAAACTTTGTCAGTCATTTCTAATTTCCTGAGGCTGTCTATTTCCCAGTCCACACTCACAGTGTCAGCAGAGTCTCCGTGGTGCTGGGTGAGCATGTGACACACATGTGGACTGACAGAGCACAGTGCTGGGTGTGTATGTGTGACATACATGTGGACTGGGTCCCCACGGAGCTGGGTGAGCGTGTGACACACGTGTGGACTGACAGAGCACAGTGCCGGGTGTGTATGTGTGTGTGACATACATGTGGACTGGGTCCCCACGGTGCTGGGTGAGCGTGTGACACATGTGTGGACTCACAGATCACAGTGCTGGGTGAGCGTGTGACACGTGTGGACTGGGTCCCCACGGTGCTGGGTGAACCTGTGACACAGGAACAATACTGAAACTCTCGAACTCCTAGAGGCGCACGTGCTCGCCTGTGTGCTCCCACATCTACCTGAGACACGCAGCTCTGCAGGAGGCAGTGACGGAATTGGCAGGAAGGATGGATACCAAGAGCTGAAAGGCTATGGTGGCGCCCAGCCACCAGGGGGCACTGCACACATACCTCTTCTGTTTTGGTTTTCTTGGGACTCTCTTCTTTGTGAGGAGAGGAGGTCCTCTTGACTCCTACTATGGGATTAGGTATTTTTGTTGCTGCGTTTCCTGAAGGTCTAGGGGGCTGGTTTACCAGACGTGTTGAGGAAACCACTCTGGAGACCGTAGGCTTTGGTGGTGGAGAAACGGCTGGCTGTGTGGCAGTTTGAGGAATGCTTTCGCTCGATGAACCTGCGGGTGAAGTACAAGAGCTCATCAAACTCAAAGTCCTCAGCCAGCAAGTCAAGCTGCATTTGTCGTCTCTGCACGCTGACTCTCATATATCACTATATACGCCAATTACATGAGAAGAGCATTTTCAAAAAACTTAATCTAACCTACTTTATCAACAAATAAAGTCATATTTCAAAATGAAGACTAAACCCTCCTATAAGGTAAGCAGTGTCCGATGGGTCAGATCTGCGTTCTCACCCCCTGAGCTCTCACTGGGATTGACTTGTGGTACAGACACGTCAGGAGCCGGGAGGCTGGTCACAGAGGCTGCTGTCACAGCTGGAGCGGGACTGTTTCTGCTAAAAAAATAAATATAAATATAAATATATATACACACAGATCTATACATACACACACACACACACAACACAAAAGTCAACAACAGATCATAACGCAGCAGTAAGTCGATGAATCTTACGTTTTACTTGTCAACATATACTCCAGGTACTGCCTTTGATAAAACTGGTGAATGGAAAACCAACCAACCCCAGAGATCTTCACCCAATTCACAATTACAGTTTAAAAATCAAACAAAAACCCACATCAACAACCACAGTGCCCAAACATTCTAAAGCAATGCTGTACAACAGAACTTTGTACAATGAATGGTGCAAATGTTCTTTCCCTGTACCATCCCATATTCATGGCAGGCACTGACCAGACAGCCACCACACAAATAAAGCCTGGCCAGTGAGGAACTGAATGCTTCCTTTCATTTAACAGTCATCAAAGTGAATCTGCCACATGGAGCTAATGACTACCTCATGGGAAAGCCCCATGCTTTAGCTTTATAACTGTTCCTAACTGGCTGCGAGTATTCTACTTAACTGATTCTAGGTATTGGAAAATCCTGCAAAAAATGATGGAGACAAAAATGGTCTGAGAAATACAAATAAAGTTCTTCATATAAAATCAAAGAGTAAAGTGAATCTCACAGAGCTCACTGGACCAGGTACAACCACAGGCTCCCTAGTGACAAAGGGAGAGGCGAGGCTAATACTGCGCATCAAGCCTCAGTGAATTTCCGTCCTGTCTGTTGTGTGCTGATGAACCAATTCTGCTCACTGGGATGCCACACGGCAGGGTAGACGTGCCCTTCAAGGCTCCCTAGGCTGTCATCTTCACAGGCTTGGCACCCCTGTTTTCGGCTTGGCACCCCTGGTGGGCTCCAAGCCCCAGCCTTCCGGAGAGCAGTCTAACACTTACCCTTTGCACACCAGGGCTCCCTCCCCTACCTCCTCCTACATGGGAATCTCAGCAGATGGCCGTGTTTCCTACTTCACAAAACACCTGAGCCCATCACCCAGAGACGAACCACATTCGAACAAGAACGTAAGGCACCCCACATGTCCCGTGCCGCATTGGAATGCTCATCTTAATCATCACCTATCAAAGTCCACGTCCCCCTCACCTTCCTTGGGAGACCGCACTTGCTCGGACTCTCAGGAACCTCACTTCCCAGCACCCCTTCTTCACTAGCTGCTCTCTTCAACTTTCCTGTCTCAGAGAACTCCTAGCCTGCAGCAGCATCTAGTAATTTCACATCTGTACTGTCTTCCTCAATAAAAACAAATGGTCATGTTCCCTCAGCCTCAGGTTCCTCTGGAGGACTGTCTTTGTTGCCATTAAAGACACAGAGTTCCATGGGATGTGGATGCAAACCTAGTCAGTGCAGCAGAGGACGACAAAAGTCTGTTACATTTGACTTCTATAGGTCTTTATAGTGTATACTTCAAGAAGTTCTGTTAGTTTATGGGCATATACTAATTTTTTTTTGAGAACTGCTGGTGTGGTGCTGTAGGGTAAGCACTGGACTGTGAACCACAAGGTGGATGCAAACCCACCAGCAGCTCCTCGCTATGAGTCAGAACTGACGTAACAGCACTTAGCACCAGCTTGGTATTTTGAAGGGAGCAGCTTAGCTGTGTGGGCTGTGGGTGGATAATGGGTCTACTGATGCCATCAGCGGGCTGACCCTCAGAGCTCTTGAGTATGGTGATGACCCAGTGAAGGCAGAATCACAGTCAGAGCCACGGGGGCTCTGGGGGAACATGTGTGGCGACAGGACAGTGTGCACGGCCTCTGACTCCTGGTACTTCAGTAAGATCCAGGACGGAATTCATCTTGAGATGGTTTTTACTGTCAGTAAAAACAGTGCAGAGTGCTCCTGGGGAGATCTACAACCTCAGGACCAGGAAGAGCAGCTCGCTCCCGTCCTGCTTGGCCACTGTGAGTCGTGATTAACTAGTCGGCAATGATTCCAGTTCTGCTTTGGGGTCTGGTGCTAACCATTACCAACCACTCCCTGAATTACCATCAATCCATTTTAAAAACTGGAATACAACTATGACACTGTATGAGAAACCAAAATTTGTTTTCCAAAAACTGAGCAAAGTTGCTTTTAAAAGAATGAAAATATGGAATCAAAACAACACCCTTCCCCCCAAAGCAGATGCCTTTAGCAGCCCCGAGAGCCACGCTGGCTCACGTCCTTACCCCTGAGAGCTGCCAGAACTGTTCAATGGACTGGTCTTCATAGCACTCGTAGGAGAAGGCACAGACATGCTGTTGTCACTGTCCATAGACAAGTCGAGGCTGCTGTCATTCAGAGCTGTCAATCTCACCCCTTCTGTTGAATGCTGCAACCAATACAACAGCTCATCAATGACCTGACGTCAGCCACACCTTTGAAATCTGAATTTCACTCAGCTCCCATGATTTCTACCAGGAAGCACCCATCAAACAACCAATTTATGAAACCCACAAGTGCCATGCTGACTACGACTAGGAAGGCAGAGGTTTGGGGACCACATACTCTGACACTTCAGCATTCTTGGCCCTAACTACAGTTACAGTGTGGCAGGAGAAAGGAGGAAGAAATGCACCAGGAAATGTACGCACTGGCTGGGAAACACGTCGCTGATTACAAAGCATTATCCGATGAGCCCATGTGCATCTTGAAATCAGCGGACAATCATGACAGTTCTTTCACACAGATTCATACAGGAGGATTTAGGTAAGAAAAGAGTCTTAACAGCAGACCCGACACTGATAGCGAATATCTCTGGCTAGAGAAATAATAAGTAATTTTATTTGTTTATATTTCTAATTATTCTACAATGAATTCTAAAATGTCATTTCAAAATAATTATCATGTATGTACAATTCAGTGTCACTTGTTACTATCTCACAATAAACTCAGCCTTCCTCAGAACGGCAAGAAATTTCTAGTATTCAAGCAACCACCAAGGATTTTAACATAGTACATTTCATTATCCTGTGTAAATAAAATAAAAGCAGAAACAACTTCTGGAAAATTAGACCTACTATCCACAGATAAAAGGAACTCTGGTAGCGTAGTGGTTACGAATCGGGCTGTGAGACGCAAAGTCAGCAGCAGTTCGAAACTACCAGCGGTTCCACGGGAGAAAGATGAGGCGGTCTGCTCCCGTAAAGATTTACAGCCTCGGAATCCCTGTCTGTGTAGGTCGCTATGGGTCGGAACCGACTCCACGGCACTTAATAACAACAACAACATCCACATATAAATCCTAATGCCAGTCCTGCTTCAGAGTCAAAGCACTACTTAGTAAGGAGGAAAACCAAAATGGGTTTGTGGGATGGAGCTCATGTCTGTGCTAGCTTTTAGTTCCGTTTGTTACCTTCAAGGGCATTACAGGATCACACTGTTATCTTCCGTTTCATCGTTTCAGAACACTTTTAGCCTCAATGTTCACTTAAACAGAGGAATGTTTCACTGAAAATAACCCTAAACCAATTCCTCTACTTACGGGCTATCTCATTATCCGACATCTCACATTCACGATAGTCAAAAAACAAACAAACAAACCCACAAAAATAACTACTCTGTGCCTTCATGTGTCCACCTGGCAATAAGGAATCTGAGGCGCTGGCTCTGAGGGGGAGGGTTACATGTCCATGGGGCTGGGCTGGGGCTCCCGGGCTATGGCAGTCATCCTGCGTTTTTGCCTAACGATCTGGACCTGGTCTTGGGAAGCTGAGCGTGTGAGGAGTTGGTGTCATTCACAACAACCACACACACACATTCTGCTTGCTACTGGCCCAAACGACAAGCTAGGCTGATGTGAGTCAGCACTGGCCACACCACTGTAGACAGATCAGTGCTGACCCAGTGGGGAGCTGGCTGTGAGAGACAACCCCTAGCCGAAGGTCTGAAGGGGCCTCTTTCCTCACAAGGACAATATGTTCACTCCTAATGGAACACAGTGACTACAGAATCACACTCAAGTCCAGTCACCTCCCAAAGAGACCTGACCCCCACAGGGGACCATCTGTGAGCAAGAAGGTCTGGACAGGGCTCTGCACACAACAGCAATGAGCCCCTCAGTTCTGTCCCATGTTCATACCAAGTCGGGCAGCCAGAACTCCAAAAGACAGACAAGTCAGAGAGCCTGGCCACAGGGGGAAGTCAATACCCACCCACTTTAAGGAGTGCAGTCAGGCCTCCCAAGCATAGCTCTCCCTACATTCCCTGGGGCAAGCATGTCAATCACTGCTTCCACTGGAAGAGACCACACCACCTAATGGTCACCTGAGCACAAAACACAGGACAAAGACTGGCAACAGTGCTCACAACTCAGGGAAGGAGACTTTCAGACACTTGTTATTTATAAAAACATAAAACACTCCTTTACTAAAGACACCTTGTTGTTATTAAATGCCGCGGAGTCGGTTCCAACTCATAGTAGACAGTTGACAAGAAAACAGTTGGTGAATCTGAACTGCCAACCTGACAGTTCAAACCAACCTTGTGGACCAGTGCTTAGCCTACAGCACCACACCAGGATTCCAAAGGCACCATGACAACAGTCAAAATGACCTCAGACACAAGGCATGAAACTCGTATCCAGTCACACTCAGAAATCCTAGGCAGTCATTGAAAATATCCTATAGGTGGGTAATAACACTATAGACTACAGCAGGGACCCTTCCTCCCACCCCCCAAAAAAAGGCAGCTGACAAAATAGTATCATTAAACTCCCTTGAAAACTACTTATTGTATATATGAGCATTCAGCAGCGTCGGAATAAACTGGAAATGAGATGTTGCTATGATTTAAGAAATAAAATTCTTACACTATACAATTTCAAATCATTTTTTATTCTTTTTACATTCTAAAAGGTTTATATTGACACAGATACTACCTTAGAAATAAAAACAAAACCTTTCCTATTCAAATCGCCTGAAATGATATACACGTCCTCTCAAAGCCCACTGCTGCTAGGCAAATGACCAGTAAGAGTTTCAAAGGGGGCTCTGAATCCAGGGTTCTGGGAAATCTAACCGTCAGTTTCAAACAGCTGTTTTAATAAAGCAAACATGAGTAAACATCAAAGAGTAGAATAATCTATTCACCTTTGCTTCTGAAAACACAAACGTTTGCAACTATTTTTAGTATGTGGTGAACATAAATTTAAGGACAACAGCTTAGGCCCTTCAACAATATAAGGTTCAATGAAAACCTAGAGGACAGATGTCTGACTTGATACTTCAGAAATAAAATTGCTTGAGAATTGCCATTTTTCCACTTTCTAGATTATCAGGAAACCATTAGGTTAAGAAGTAGAAAAAGAATGTCAAACTAAAATATAATCTACATAAAGATTTAAATATGCTACTTAAAAAAAGCAGCGATTTTTTTTTTTTTTAATTTGCAGACCAAAAAAAAAATCTATGTATGTCTGCATTCCCAGTTAACTAATAATGATAAAAATGGTGATGCCAAGAGAAGTCACCTGAGTGTTTGCTACGCTGCATGCACTACTATAAACCTTTCACACGTACTCACTCACTTAATCCTCAGGAAGCTAGACCCAGTAAGACAGGTAAAATTATGTCGACTGATACTCATATTGCAGAGGGGGCAAACCAGGAAACTGATGCCTAGTACCTACCTAGCCCAAGCCTTCCAGCTGGATTACAACCTGACACTGAACCCGGCAGAGTTCTCCAGAGTCCTTGCTTCATTTTAATGTTTTTCCATATTTTTATACCATGATGCCTAGTATTCTACACATCACGTACTCTATATTTTCAGAAACAAAACCTCATCAATCTGTCGCTTTTTGTGCGGATTCACCCTGCTAGCCCCTCTCCTGACAGCTCTCCAGAGTAGTCTCTCTGACCCAGTAAGACCTGCCACATAGCGCCATCTGATACGTATTTTTCTCAACTGTTTCTTTTACTCTGCCTAAAGGAGCTCTGGTAGCATAGTGGTTACGAATCAGGCTGCTAACCTGAGGGTCAGCAGTTCGAAACTACCAGCTAGCTGTTCCGCGGGAGAAAGATGAGGCTTTGTGCTCCCATAAAGATGTAAAGCCTTGGAAACCCTGTGCAGGGTCGCTATGAGTGAGAACCGACCCCACGGCACAGAACAACAGAGCTCGGGCTCATTTCTTTTCACTGCCTTTCATACTCCATTACAGGAATGTTGTTTGTTGTTAAGTGCCGTCGAGTCAGTTCCAACCCACAGCAACCCTGTGTAGGGTTTCTAAGGAGCAGCTGCTGAGCTTGAACTGCCAAACCAACCTTGCAGTGTAGCCATCTCTTTTAAAATCCACATAAGAAAAATAAGGTAGATACCATTTCTGCACTAAAATCCCAATATGCACTTTCTAGGGAGTTCAAATGAGATGAAAGGACTCTGGGTTACTCCACAGCAAGAACCAGAATGGAACGATCGGCTTCCAAGTATTTACTCTTGATATCTCCGAGTACGCCTGTCAGCGGTCTTCTTTATGCTCAGCACTTTTAAAGAAGATTCATCTGGCGTTTGCATATTCACCCACAAAAGCCATTTTCCTAAAGTAATTTTCACTTGAATTACATGAAGCAAACATGAAGAAGCCTCAAAAAGTTTATGGAAAAATGGAAATTTTCAACAAACTTTTTGAAGCCTCGTCGAATCACCTAATTTTATTTAAAGAAAAAAATAAATTCAATATTGATTGGGGATTATAAGCAGTTACTTAAAGAGAAGAGGACATATTCTATGGTCTCTAAAATGAGACTACAAAGTATTAACACCCCTAGCTCTGTCTACACACAGTTGGGGGGGGGGGAACAAGATGACATCACGTAACGTCGCCATGTCACAGTGTCACAAACTTCCCCAAATGATGCAATCTATTCCAGATGACTTAGTATTGGTCACTGAGCTCAGATCTTCAAATCCTGGTAAGCTGGATGCAGAAACCCCAGGTTAGTAAGGCTTCTGTAAGTACTGTCTTCATTTACCTTTTTCTTTTTTTGAAGCACATGATTAGGTAGCAGTTGATGGAGTTGCTTTCTTTTTACATGCATTGCAGCAATTTTCATATCCACCTCAAACATCTTGCTGTTTATTGCTTGCCTATAAACTACACAAGTAGGAAATTGTTAAAAGAAATAGAAAACATTTTAATAAAGGCAGTTAAACTCACCCAGAAGCAGCTATTCTAAGGATCCCTTTCCAAGCAATACCACACATCTTTAAAGTTATCAGGTCAAACCCTAGTTCTCATCTGATAGCATCCCTTTTGTCTGAGCAAACGCTAAGTGCCTGTTACCACTTGGTGCACTTTACATATAACAGCACAAAGTATCTTCATTCATCAGTGTAACTCTTTAGGAAAAGGCAGAATTAGAGAAAAAGGTTTTTTAAAATCCAAACCCCTTTATGCTGTTCTATTTATGTCATTTAAACTGTAGCCCAAGACTGTAAAAATGCAGCAAGATAAAGTCAAAATGATTAAACTACATCCAAAAGACCCCCAAACAACAGGTCACAAGAGAAAAAAGAAAAGGCTGCAAAAAAAAAAAAGCAAATCCAAACCGTTAGATCCAGAGCAGAGGCCAGCCTGGAGAAGCAAACTCAGCCAATCAGGCAACAAGCTCTGACTGCACACCTCTATACTGGGCACGTGAGGGAGAGCTAGACCCCCACACCACCTTCCAGAACACACAGAAAAGACAAACAGGAGGTGGAATACAGGCTGTGTTAGGTGCTGCCGAATGCTAGGGAGACAATCTGAGTGTCAAGAAGACAGGAGGCCCACCCTGTAGAGAGATGGCATCTGAATGGCCTTGGGCCGAGGGTACCCGTGGAACACTTCCCCAGGGAAAGCAAGCATCCAGAACAACAGGCCCCAAGGAGCAGAGAGCATGCCTGTAAGCAGACAGGCAGTCAGGGAAGGGAGAAATCAGCCTTCATGGTCCCTTCTCTGCTAGTCTACAAACCCCAAGGCTAGGAACACTGAACGTCCCCCTTCGGGTGCCATCCAAGCTCATCTGCTCCCACAACCTGACCTCAACAACCTGTGCTTATTCTGCCTCTACTGTTACTGTGACAGAGGGAAATACTGCTGAATGATCATACACTTGTTTACCAGGTGTGAGCATCGCTGGGTTTCCTGCAGAGATGTGTATTATACCACGGTAGGTTTTAGGAACTGGACTCACCTCTGGCCCTATCTGCATTCAGCTGGGCCACCTAAGATGTGGCTTTACAAGATGACTTTGGAAGAGGATTAGAAGTAGCTGAGGGAGGGCTAGGCCAGTGGACAGTAAGAGGCCTGAGGATGACAGCATGTGGGCCCTAACAAGTGGCCGGAACCTCAACATACTGGGAAAGCAGAGGGGAAAGTCCCTGGAAACGGAGCGCTATGGAGCAGGGGAAAAACAAGTCTAGGATGGCGCTAGGGTTTTGAGCTTGAACAACTAGAAGGATGCCGTAGCCAATAAACGTGATAAAAAAGACTTAGAGAGAAGCAAGTTGGCCAGAAGAGGGTGAAGACTAACTTCTGTTTTGAATGCATTAAAAATGTTTCCCTAAAAATCCCTTAGGTATTCCACAGAGTGTTTCAAGACACAGGACAACGACATCGTTCTGTCCCTAAATACCCCGGAGCTGCTGGAGAGTCTTCATGGCTCACTAATCTTTGACAATTCAGCTTGGGTACATAAGTTTCTCTGTGTGACTTCTGAAGTCACAAATAGCGTAAGTTGACACAGGAATTTGTGCGTAGGAATGAAACCCCTTCAGGAGTGTTCGGCAGCAGGAAAAGAACTGTCCCCTGCAGACGACATCCCAGACACCAGTGGCAGGTTGTGTGTTGTGAAGAACTGTCCCATGCCCTACCTACATCTCTAAAGATGAAAACTATTTACAGACTTCCTTCAACAAAGAGCCAAACCCGTTTTCACATAAAAACTAAGTATTTGTCACCAAAATCTTCCAGGAATGCAACTACATCAAGAAGATCATCTTAGGCTGTATTTTCATCTTTGGTAGCCAATGGTAACACAGTGTGTCTGCATCACTACAGCCATGAGGACTCATAGATTGCGGGCCTGCTGCCAAGGAACCCACGTACAAGTGCTAGCACCTGATCAGTGATGGACGTACGCCATTCCAGCATCTTTGGGCCTGGCCATCAACAAACTGAAGATCATTTTTCCTACCTTGTGCTTCTCCTTAAAATTACAATGAAAAAAAAATTTTTTTTAATTACCATTTTTAATTCTTGTGTATAATCTGCAATCTACACGTTTCACTGCAACGTAATAAATACTAAACAAAAGTATCTTACCACAGCTCCTAAACTTCAGGATGTCTTTCTAACTGAAATGTCTATAAAAATTTCATCTAATTTCCACTCAGGCCCTGGCACTCCTCAGCCACTCACTCCCTTTAAGCCATCATACACGACTACAGGCTAGAAGCTGCATACCAAACTAAGACAAGAGGTAGCTGCACTGTAACCACTGCTAATGTCAAATGGGAAGATTCTCTGTGGACAACTCTTATCTCTGGGACAGCTAGAAAGCGTTACTTTGTGGAACTGTTTTATGGCGGAGGGGTGGAGAGAGAAAGGTCTGAAAAAGAAGAGAGTTAGACCCGAAGCAAGACGCACAGTTGTCCCTGTACGTACATATCCGCCAGCCCCCAGCTGTGCTGTGTGTCCATCCACAGCCCTTAAGCTCCCATCAACAAGGACTCCCAGCAATTTGGGTCTTTAGTTAAAACCCAGCATCTTTTCTCTCAGGGCGCAGGAAAATCGGCATTACAGCTGACTTTACCCTACTCCCCTATCCATGAACTAACATTCTAATCTACACTGGACAAAAACGACAAATGCTTCAAGTCAGCAGAAATTGGTCATCACCTGCCTCTAAGGAAGAGTCAAAAAGAGGCTTTCAGACACGTGAGTTATGTCTCGTTTCCTAACTATTGGGAAGAAATCAAATTAAAACTGTTTTCCTTCACATTAAGGTCTACACTACAGAGAAAGATCCTTTACATCTGGGACATTACTGAAACTACCAACGAACAGAAAGCCATGAGACGACGCCTCGAGTGTACACTCTGAACTATCCCCCCAGCTGGAGCCGTACCTGTGTCTGTAAAAGACTGAATGTCATAGGTGAGATCCACACTGAGGTTTTCAGAGCTCTCGGTTTTCTTAAACACCAACCCAATCACCCACATTGTGCGGAACTCTTCTCTGTAAAGGAAGAACAACATTACTGTGTTTTATTAGAACGTCATGAAAACATCCCTAGAAATGTGGAGGCAATTTCAGGTAAGTGGGAAAACTTGAAATACAAGCAAACCTAAGTAAACTCTAGACCAAAACACCATCCAAACACACTTCAAAGGCTCCCCTGCCTATACACGCCTGTTCTCTGTGATCGAGGGTGAAGCGATCTTTACAATCTGTAATTGACAGTCAATGTTCTGGTGGCTGTAACACAGCAAAGACACTAGAATCAAAGAAAAAGTATACTCTAACTAATACGGGAGAAAGAATAATGCTGCTTAGAAACACTTGTTGTTGTTGTTGTTAAGTGCCGCCTAGTCGGTTCCGACCCATAGTGACCCTGTATAGGCTTTCCAAGGAGATACTGGTGAGCCTGAACTGCCAGCCTTGCAGTTCAAACTGCTTTGCAATCTGGTGCATAAACCCACAGCGCCACACCAGGACTCCTTAGAAACACTAGACACACAAATAAACATTTTCTTTATGAAAATGAGCTAAAACTTAAATATATAATCCTATGCCTGTAAAACTCAATTCAGGAAGTCACATGAACAGAGATTTCAGAGCAGCATCCTAACAAGAACTACAAGGGGTTTGGTGGATTTTGCATATTTAATGATGCTATCTGATTCATAGTCTTTTAAATAATTAAGATTGCAGAAAGACTCATAAAAAAAACCACACAAAAGCAAACTCTTTCACATGACTGCCAACAGGAACACAGACAGTCTGTGTGTAAGATGAGCAAGTGGAGGGTGGCTGGAGAGGGCTCTTCTCCAACAAGAGTGCTTCCTGGGGAGCCTGCACCTTCACTCTCCCTCCTGCCATCACTTCATCATTTAAATGCTTAGTACCAATATTGCCTGCCTCAGCCCACAGGCCAGGCAACAAAAAGTCTTAAAGTAAGTAATGTTACCTCAACCTCACTAACCAAACCAGCAAGGGAGCTATAAAAGACCCCTATAAAGGGATGAAATAAGCCTGCTGTTATGAGCAAATCTTCACAGTGGTTCAGGATGCATCATAAATCAGCTTTGTGCATGGTCAAAATCAAAGTGAGTTCCCATTCTGAAATCAACGAAGGTGAAAAGCCAAGACTAAGACTCCTGTAGACACTCGGGTGCTTTTTCTCAACAGCTACAGAACAAAAGGAGTCCCAGGTACATCCCTGCTTATCAACAGGTCTGCATCAGAGACAACAACTAGGGGGTAAGTCTCCTAACGTTTCCGGTCAAAGATAACCTAAGCTATAAATTCCACGTTGGTTCTATGAGTGCAAGTGGGAAAGTGAAAAGCGTGCTCAGTGGACGGTCCCTTACTTGTCAGGATTCTCCTTGGGGGCCGGAAACGACTGAGGATTCACATGCGCCAGGGTGATAAATTCATTCTTCTCCAAACTTCCAACCAGGATTCGAATTTTTGATTCCACCAAGCCCACCCTGAACAAATGTCACTTTGCATTATTCAAAATTGTGGTTAACTTTAAAAAAAAAAAAAATCATAAAATCCAATGTATTTACGCAGAGCAGTAATAAGATCACAAAAATGTATACACACACATGCAGGCAGTTCAACTGTATGAATGCCAGGGAGAAGACCAAGGTCTTGTGCTGAAGCACTTCAAACAATCCGCCTTTCTCCCATGGGTGAAAAGAGAATCAAACCACACATCATTCACACCAAGAAAGTTGCAAAACACAGCACCACAAATACTTAAAGAAAAGCTTCGATAATTATTGACACAGGTATCTTTACAAAGCAAAGCAATAAACATACGGATTCTCTAATTCCAATAGGTAGTAAAGTTCCATTTATGAACAAATCAAAACTGAATGGGAGGCTTTAAAGATTTCCTCCCATCTCCTACTGCATTCTGCGGCATTCAGTGATTTTGAGATTTTCTTTTTTCTGTGATGTCTAACCTTATACTCACCATTCTAGGCGTTGTTTTTCTGTTGGTGCACTTGCTAGAAGTACAATATAATGCCTTTGAAGATAAAGACAACATGCTATTTATTGTGTTTACATGCTTTGTGCTGGATATTAAAACCATAATGCAGTAAGCTTCCTTACAGTTAAAGATCAAATCCAATTAGCAAACAGGGTTGGAATCTCATTATAAACATAAAATCATAAAAACTAAACTCTTCAAATCTCTAACTATGGATAGGTTTAAGTCTTCCTGACAAGACACTCCTCGTGTGAATTATTACAATAAAAAGCATCTTAAGTCAATAATGTTGAGTAAGTTTTAACTGATAACTTTGCTCGCTGATTCCAATGAAGTGCTTTACCTCTTCAAAAGTACACAATTGAAAAGCTGCTCACTCAAATAGAATTCACCAAATCAAAATAGTTTTCATGGAAACAGAACCCCAGGATTTGGGTCACAAAAACATGATCACTGATACACATCAGTAACTTCAAAACATACCATGCTGCTTCATTCAAATGCTGTTCAGTGTCACTGAGTGGATTCTGACCCATAGCGACCCTGTATAGGGTTTCTGAGGAGTAAAAGGGGAGCTTGAACCACCGGCCTTGCAGTTCAAACTGACTTTGCAGTTCAACACATTAACCCACAGTGACACACCAGGACTCCATAGGCAGCAAATTAAACTGGATATTAAACTTGACCCCTGTTGCATTTCTAGCACAGAAACAGCTACCACTAACATGCGAGGGAAACACTGCTGAATGCAATCCACGCAGGTTTTCAGTTCAGAGAACACCAGGACCAAATACCTACTCTGAATGTCTTTGGAAAAATTACTATATACACAACTGCTGTACAATATTGGTATAAATCAGCTTCCTACGAGTCCTGGTGTGGCACTATAGGATAAGCAATGGACTGCTAACCCCAAGGTCAGAGGCTTGGAAACCCTAAAAAGGGTCGCTGAGTCAGAACAGACTCAATGGCACCTAAGTCTGAAACATTTATGATGCTTTCTCAAAATCCTATTTTTTACAAGTAAAGTTTCTCGCCAAAAGCAAAGGTTTGACCTAGACCCAGAATAAAAACGATTAACTCCAGTGCACGTTAGCAGGGTCACTGAAGGTTCTGTGAAGCTTAGGCATCTTTAACCACACTCCCTTAAAATTATTTACTACGTATGATTATAAAAGATGTAAGAAACAGTCCTGCTACTTCGTCGATAAAATCCTAAACATGTCTAAGATTTATGATCCTCATCTGCAAAATCTAGCCAGAGTACCTGTCATGTTGCATTTCTGAGGTGATGATGGAGGAAACCTAGATATGAGATGAAGTAGCATAGGAGGTGAACCCACAGTCTACATCTTCCCAGACCGACCTGTCAGTGAATCTGCTCACTTTCTCATCCAGAGCAGGCCAAACACACAAAGCACAGACACAACTAAGTCACACAAAAGCATCACACGCCAATGCATTTTATCTGTTGTTTTAAAAAACCCTGAAAGCGGAAACAAAATCCTAATAAACTCATGCTGTAAATCCGCTCGCCTTAGGCTGCGTGCCTAAGGGATTATCTGGTGTCAGTGTTCCTTTTTAAGTGCCTTCAAGTCGGTTCGGACTCATAGCGACCCTGTATAGGCTTTCCTAGGAGCAGTTGGTGGGTTTGACCTGCCGACCTTGTTCGCAGTCAGTCCAGTGCTGATCCCACAGTGCCACACCAGAAATCCTTCTATAGAACCCTCAGAATTCTAACTACTTCAGATTCAGGATCTCACCTGAGGCTCTAAGAAGGATAAGACATCAAGTAGAAAAGAGTCCCTCCCTATCAGAGGATCATGAATTCTGCTAAAGTTGAAATAAGAAGAAACATCAAATTTATGGTGAAGCTTGGGTGGAAGAATGGTGACATCATTGATGCTTTACGAAAAGTTTATGGGGACAATGCCCCAAAGGAATCAACAGTTTACAAATGGATAACTTGCTTTAAGAAGAGACAAGATGATGTCGAAGATGAAACCCGCAGTGGTAGACCATCCACATCAGTTTGCAAGGAAAAAATTCATCTTGTGCCCTCAATGAAGAAGACCAATGATTACCAGCAGAAACAAAAGTCAACACCATAGACATCTCAATTGGTTCAACTTACACAATTCTGACTGAAAAACTGAAGTTGAGCAAACTTTAAACTTTACCCAATAAATGGATACTACTGCATCCAGATCAGTGGCAAACAATAGTTACCAAGGGAAATTTTATACTAACGAGTTCAAGATCCTGAAGAATTTCTTTGGAGAATCGTAACAGGATAGGAAGCCACTATTTTGATTGTGTTTTGCCCTCAGGATCATTTCTGAGGTGATGATGAAGGAAAGCTAGATATGAGATGAAGCAGCATCGGAGGTGAACCCACAGTCTACATCCTCCCAGACCGACCTGTCAGTGAATCTGCTCACTCTCCCATCCAGAGCAGGCCAAACACACAAAGTACAGACACAACTAAGTCACACAAAAGCTTCAGATGATCCTGAGGGCAAAGCACATCAAAATAGTGGCTACCAAGAAGTAGTAGTCAGTCAGAGTCAACGTGAACCATCCAGTCAACAGCAAAGGAATGGCAGAGTTCTCTGGGATACTCAAGGCATTCTGCTTGCTGACTTTTAGGAGGGCCAAAGAATAGTAACATTTTATTATAAGAGTGTTCTGAAACAGCCAAAACATTAGCAGAAAAACACCTGGGAAAACTTCAGCAGAGTCCTTCCCTACACCAATGATCCTCATTCCTCTCATCAAAGGCAGTATTTCGAAAGTTTCCATGAGAAATCATAAGGCATCCACCCACTTTACAATCCTGTAATTCCTTCTGAATTTGTTTCACCTTAAAAAGTCTTTTTTTTAAAGACACCTTATTTTTTTTCAGTTAATGTAAAAATGACTGCATTGAATAAAGCACTGGTTCATAAAACAGTTTGAACCACAAGGTCGGCGGTTCAAACTTACCAGGGGTTCCTTGGAAACCCTATACAGGGTAGCTCGGATTCAGAACTGACTTGACGGCACTTAACTAAAACAATAAATGGTTGATATCGTGTTAAAAAATCCTAATAAACTCAGTAATCTCATGTCCTGAACCCAGGATAAGAAATAAGCAACAGGTTTGTTTTGTTTTGTTTTGTTGTGAAAAAAGAAAGGGGGAGGTTCTCTGACAAAGCATAACAACTTTTAACAGTTAGAAGCAGTGCAAAGCCACCATGCATATAAAAATTTTTAATGCCACGTTGCCTCGGGTCACCTGACTGCAAGCACAAAGGCCCCTGAGGTCCCAAGTCACTCCTTTGCTGCACTAGCAAATGGAATCTTAATGACAGTGAGTGTTCCAACAGGAGCTTACAAGAGGCACCAGGTCATCTATTTAGGGAGCAAGATATACAGTCCACCTGAAGGTTATTTTGTTGGCAATCGAGAGTGGACAATTTGGAAGAGTTTGACTTTGGTTCCTGCTTAGACCGGGGTTCTCAGGGTTAAATGACTCTAACTTTATACTACAATGTCAAATTTGAAGTGGGAGATTTTAAAAAATGTAGTAATTAAGTATGAATAGACATAACTTGCCAATTTTACATTAGCCATTAGGAGTTGATTTATAAAACAAAAGACTTAGCTATGTAAGACAACTGGGGGTGGAAAATCCCAACTTCATTCTTTTAAAAAAAACCATCTACTTTTGCTTCAGGTTTAAAAAACGGTAACTAGCTCATCAATTCTTATGCTCCTTCTCAGAGTACAGAAACCAAGTAGAAATATCTTACACGTTTAAGACTCCGTGACTTGGTGACATACCTAAAAGCATGATCCCCTATGAGGGGCTTCAAGATGTTGCTGTAAAAAACGGAAATAAATTTTTCCATGAACTCTCTGAAGCCCCTAGTATTTCACCCGTAAGAAGCAATGATGTCACCCTTCGAAACCTGACCTATGAATGACTGAAGGGAAGTCTCACCCAGTCCCACAAGAAATAAAGCACTGTGCACTGCCACCTAACACTGACATGCATGATGGTCAAGTGCCTCCAGAGACACTTCCAAGTCAGAATGCAATTCAGTCATCATGAGTTTACCCCAAACTTAAAAGATTATCACAGATCCCAATATTTTAAGCCAATAAATTTAACAATTCATTTATTTGCAATTATTACTTAACAATTATTCAGCATGAAGTACCCTGTAAACTGGATTTTCCTGGCCACTTCATCTCCCCAATACTTTACCTGGGTAGGTAACAGCTAAGTTATGTGCACTGAAAAATCTACGTTCTTTCTTAGTCTAAGATCCCTAAATAGCCCCAAGCCAAGAGCTACAGTTCACAACCAGACATCTACACACATACTCTCTGACAATGATCTATTATTAACCCTACCCCTTTGAGAACATTCTGGGGTTTTCTCTAATACCCTTTCTTCTTGGTTTCCTAGTGAAATGAACACCTGAAAATAGTGAATTTCCCCATTTATATAATGAGTTTTTATTACTGAATTATTGAGTACAAAAAAATAGAAACCATGAAAATTTCCCGAAAACAACTTAAAATTCTACAAAGCAATGCCTTTTCCATCAAACAAAGCAAACATCTCATTTTCTAGACGATTTGTCTGCTCTTGAAGACCAGGGAGATTTCCTTCAAGGTGCTGCCCCTTTCTCAGAATGACCATTGAAAACCCTAACCTAGCCAACAAGTAACCCTGGTGGTGCAGTGCTTTAATGCTCAGCTGCTAACTGAAAAGGTCAGCGGTTCAAACCCACCAATGACCCCACAGGAGAGACCTGGTATTCTGCTTCCATTAAGCTTTGTTGTTGTGAAGTGCCATCGAGTCGGTTCCAACTCAGAGCAACCCCTGGGTAGGCTTTCCAAAGAGCAGCTGGTGAGTTTGAACCGCCGACCTTGTGGTTCTAACCTTGCAGTCCAGTGCTCACCCTACAGCACCACACCAGGACTCCAGCCTCAGAGATCCTATGGGACAGTTTTACTCTGTCCTACAATGTTTCGCCAAATTCTAATCTCCTTGACGGTACCCAATGACATCAATGTATCAATGGCAAGACTTTCTATGTAAGCTCCAAGCTAAGACTTAACTCTGGATTTCAACTCAGCAGTACATCTGATCTTTGGGATATTTCATATACAGACATGTTTTAAAAATTCCAAACTAACTATTTAGAAAAGCTTAGTGCTAGCACTCAGTGTGCCTTCAAGAGGGGAAGGGACCTCCCTGGAGAAGACTGAAACTACAGAGATACTGGTGCAGTTATAACCAACCCACTGTTTCATATTTTAGTTTTCCCTGCACTTAGACCTTTTCTCTAATTTGTTGCATATTTCCTCACATATAATTTGTTGTTGTTGTTAAGTGCCGGCAAGTCGATTCCGACCCATAGCGACCCTGTAGAGGGTTTCCAAGGAGTGGCTGGTGAGCTTGAACCACCAACCTTGCTGTTGCTTTTTTAATATAACTTAACGCTAAAAACTGGCTTATTTTAGAAAACTCAAATATAAAGTAATAATCTTTCAGCCAGTCCACTGGAAACCTTGTATTATTTAGCAGCGACTGATGTCATTGTCACGTCGTAACAACAAAAAACCTGCAAAAAAATTTTTTTCAGCAGCACCTCTAAGGTAAGGCCTGAATTCCAATGCAACGTCAAGGTTTTTCCAATTTCAAGATTGCTTTAATGCAATGGAAGCCATTTAAATAAATAGATCCTTCAAAGACTTCATTCTATCTACCCCTTAATCCTCTTAGCTTCTTAAAAAATCATGAGCTACTGAGAGACTTAACATTTTATGCCTCGCCTTAAAAGCAGCTACCTACTATTTTTCATTTTACTTTCAAGAATATTAGTACATGAGGGGGCTTCAAAAAGTTCGTGGAAAAAAGTGAATTTTCCATGGTCTTTTTGAAGCCTGTATGTTTCCATCGTTGAAATGTTCAGAGGCATTTCCCTTAGCACTGGTTAAAGGGAAAAAAAAAATGTAAAAAAAATTTCTCTGCCAAATAGAAAAGCAAGACGTAGGGAAAGTAAGTCACAAAATGTAGGGGGAATAGGTCATAAAACGTAGGGGGAGTAAATCATAAAACAAGAGCCTTCCCCGTTGCAGGCTTTAAGTTGGGACTGGCACCAGCGCAGCTCCTAGAACATCAGGGAAGCTGGCTCCATGATTGCTTGTTCATGCAGAAGGTCCAGAAACCACACAGAGACAGCATGAGGGTCATCATCTGGCTTTTAATCGGGGAAAGAGCAGAGAGCAATCTTGCTTAGATTATTACAACACACAATGCACCGCAAGGTCAAGTGGTCAGGACAGTCTCAAACTTGAAAAAATTTCTAAGTGGGGCTTTGGAAATTTTTCAGCTCAGGGCAAATAAAAGTGCAAGTCCGTGTTTTTTTGTAAAAGTAAGATTTATTATAACTTACAATTTTCTTCAGAACCAATACAGTTAGTCAGGCTTTTTACCTGCACTGAGGTATTAAACCATTTTATTAAAAGCATCACTAAAAACTGTAACACCCACTTAGATCCCAAGAAAACTGTTTTGTAGAAATTACCTGAAGGGCCTTTATTAGCAATGGGGGTAAATGGCCAATAATGTGTTGTAACTATTAAAAACACTTAATTGGCTATGTACCGGCATTTTATTAATTTAACTTTGTCTACACTGCAGAGAATACTGATACACAACTTTCCCAAGTGGGCTAAAAATACTGTTTCCTAACAGATATGGACCATGGACTGTAATGGTTTGCCTCTTTGTCAAGGGAGGCAGGTTTTAAGAGCTTTGGCCATGGGTAGGGTCAGGCAGCTAGACCAGCGTCCACAAATGACCTACAAGGAGACAAGTGCGTCTCAGTGACAGAGGCAACACTCTGCAGCAGCGGCTTAAAGGAAAATCACAACCAGCGGGAGTCTGGCAAGAAGAGACACCACAAGTGCTATCACTGCACCATTAGCATCTCAGAGAGCAACACATCCGACATGCCTTAAAATACATACTTGTACTTCTGAAAGAAGTTTGGAGCTTCAAAAAGTTTGGACCACTCCGCCTTACTCAGCAAAATTTCATCTGTGATAGCCAGACCTAGATTAAAGACACGTCAAAATGTTTGTATGCTTCAGTCCAGCATTCTATAAACATACCAACCACATGCATCCAACATGACCCCCAGAGTAATGCTAACAAATAGAAATCTTAGGTTCTTACATACACACACGCACACAAGCTTTTCAGAGAGCCCGGTTTCTGGTCAAGTGTCATTGTGCTTAGAGAGCATCTTCCTACACGCCAAAGCCGTGCAGTTCCCTGAGAAAGAGAAGCTCCCCATACACCCTGTTTCCTTCCTTCCTACTACTCATCTTGTGAGGTTTCAGAGTCTCTTCAGATTACAGTTCTAAACACTAGAATTTGAAGTTATCAGGATGTACAACTGATTCTATTTCCTTGACTGTTTTCCATCAAAGCAACTAACACTGCCCCCGTTCCTTCTGTCCAAGACTGCTAGTGGTTACACCCTCAAAGTAGCAGGACAACTAGCAACCAGAAAGGTGAAGTTCTTCCAAAACTAATGGGAAGTCTGGACCCCATCCTACTCCCATTTCTTTCCTGGAAGCGTACAGCCTGCTTCTGTCATGCCCCCAGCGGGAGAGGGCATTGGCATGGAGCTAGCCTACAAAGATCTAGCTAAACACACATCTCTACAAGCTATCCCATCTTCTAACAGACAGTCAAAAATACCCTGCTTGAGAGGAATGAGTTTTTCAAATCAGTTCTCAAATGCATGCTGCAATCCATCAGTGAGTGCCAAATTCCACTCTCAGACTGTGCTCCTCCATTTAACGTGCACAGTAGGCTCCCGGCTCTACACTGTGACTCCAGCCCCGCACATATAAAGGAGAACATGAGGGTAGGCACTTACCTTGTTTGAACTCCTCAACCATGACCATCCGTGTTGAAACGGACACATTGTACGTGGAGTTCTGCTGTGGGTATGCTGGTGTAATTATAGGCATAAGATGGTACCTATCACTGGGGTTGACCTACATACAACAACAGCCAATCAGTTTCTTCAAGTACATACGCAACACACTTGGACTTTTTATTCCTTGTTACACTGAATCAATGATTACATGCCTTTTAATTTCATTCACAGCTGGAGTTGAGAAAGAAAATCCATTTAAGAAGATACTGTTTTTATAAGAATTCTTTATAGAATCAGAGATTTGGTCTCAACTAACAGTTAGTTGCCATTGGGCAGGGCTAATTCAACCACCTTACTGAAGCTGTGTGCCTGGCAGCAAGACAGATCCTGGGCATCTAGTGATATCTAGCTTTTCCTTATTCAACCACAGAGCTGGGGATGCACACCAAGTGACACTGCTGAGAAATGCCACCCTTCTGTGGAGAACTAACTGCCAACAAAGCATAGACAAGCCTTTAACATACTCGGAACTTACAAGGCCTATAAACCTACTAACAGTGAGGAAATGACACTATCCATGCTGATATCCATTTAAGAGATAATGAGACGATTTAATAAACAGTTCACTGTATTCCCTATCATAATGAGTGGTGGAATTTATAAACTTGAAAATGCATTGTCATGTACGAGAACAGACTTTAAAACCAACCACGTTCTTCATATTACAATAAAACATCAAATTAATTTTTAGAAAGTATGAGTACCTAGAAACCTTGAGGACCTTATTCAAATTCAATTTCTTTTGTCAATTATTAAAATGCACGTTGGTAACACTTAAATGAGTAATGATCATAGCTTTCCAAGAAACAAAATGGAAGCTCTTCTGTTTGACCCAACTGGGTTTATGACATCTTTGAAAGATCCAAAGTAATTTTTATGATTACGTCGTGGTCATTAAAAGTGATGCTACTGAGAGCTTGTCTGCTGCCTACATACATTGAGCAGCAGCTTTTCCACAATGACCCAACTGTAACCAACTACTGAGACCAAATAAAAAAGACCAGGACTTTTAGTCAGCCTTTTATTTCCTTTAAAGGCCCCACGTGCGCACGCAGCTTTGACTTACAAGGTGGTTCTAGCTAGCCTGAGACTCTAGTGACGCTGGTGGAAGAACTACGTACAAGGATGTGGTTTAAAGGGCACGTCATTATGCTTCCCACACAGAGGACTATCTAGAGGACAGTGTAATACGGACATGTCCACTCACACGGAAGACAGGGGAGCATCCCCGGCATCGTTGATGCAGATGATTTTTACTTGTTATTGCAAAACGTGAATTTGTAGGGGAAAAAATAGTCCACTAACCCTTGGGTCCCATACAGGCAAATTAAGATTGCATTCTTCAGGCTGTTTCAATAGCACTGGATTTGGCCATTCCCTGTTTAAAAAGATTGTAGCACTTGATAAGACCACTGGATAGCACCATCGACACGTATTTTGTACAACATACAGCATTTGTGAATGTGATCCTTCTTCATTCATTCTGCCCTTTCGGTTCATATACTCAAAATACTTTTCTTGTCATTATGGATTTAACGTAAATCATTTACTTGACAGTTTTCCCAGGATGAAGTTTAACATCTCTGACTCTTTAGCACACAGACAGACAAAGCACTATTTAGATAAAGCAGCACTGATCTAACTAAGATAGCTGGTGTGTCCGCCTCAACAAGAGAAGGGTAAATCCCTTGAGAGACAAACATCTTGTCTCTATACTAATTCCAGCCACAAGCAATTGAGAACTTAAAAAAAAAAATTTACATGTAACTATAACCAAAGGATTACCCATAATTATAAAAATTATTCTCTACTCTCATTGTATGAAACAGTGTAGTAAAACTCTGAATTGTAAATGCACTCTTTTCAAGACATTTTCTGTAAATGAAATACTCCTTTATCAAACAAATAAAACCTAGAAAACATTGACCACCCTCAACAATTAGGTTAGCGTTTTTAAAAGAACCTTTGCTTTAGTGTGTGTCGCATTAAGAGATTTTCATGTTCCTTAGTCAATCTCATCTCACCGCATCACTTGACTATAGGCCATCAACTCTCCAAACAGCAGAAGGTGTACTGAAATGTGGCATGATTCTAATCATACATGCTCTCCAATAACTCTCATTTGTTCAAAATTACCAGACTGAGTGACTACTGTTTTATCAGAGGGGCAGGAGTTGATACAAACAGGAAGGAGGACTTAAAATAACTATGATACATTTGATTAAGAAACTAAGAACCCTTCATCTTTTAGGTTAAAGCAATTAATATGAACTATCAAAAATCAGTTAAACTTTTTTTTTTAAAGAAATTATAGTTGACAAACAGGTACACATTTAAATAAGGAGACTTAAAATTCTCTCTTGGGTTAATGACTAATCTCAAGGGAACTATATAATCCCCAGAATTAATAATGTTATTCTTTATAATGTAAATGTTTAATATTTCACCAAGAGTAACTGAACTAAAAGGAAAACAAAAAATTAACAAAAACGAATGGCCTATAAAAATAGAATTCAGAGAGTGAAAGAGGTGGTGTATACATGCGTTTTCTCATACCCCAACCCGTCAATTCAAGCTGCTCCCAGCTGAAGTGCAGAGCCTCTCTAAAGGGCAGGCTTGCCAAGACCACACACAGCACCTGGCTTGACTACCCTGAGAAAAGCAATGGGCCTGGGCTGGTCGTTTGCTACACAACGTGATCTCCTCCCCAAGGCTACCTAAAATGGCTGCGTCATGAGCTGAAATTGGAATCTAAAAGCAGCTGCAAAAATGGCATAGAAATAAGACTAAACTTCAGTGTCTACAATCGATTTTATTGTAAAATAATCTAAACACATACCATTTAGAAAATACCAAGAAAAATTTATGTACAAGAGTTGACGCTATTGCATTTGGATACAGCTGGCAAGTTCTTGCTACTAGCATGGCCCAGGAGACACCACCGAGGAAGCCTAAGATATTGGAATAGATGTTGTGGCCTGTTGGTAAGGGAAGAGCAAAAACATCAATCAGTGACAAACACACGTGCCAACATTTTCACAAGCTAGCCAACAAATTCTGCACTCACGTTTGGCCCACAGTTTGATAGCTCTCAGAGTTAACCTGAAGTTGTCAATGTTTGGTACTAGATGTAAAATTTCATCGGTTACCCTGCAACCTGATTAATAGGAGTGAAAAACAGAACAGTAAATTGTCACAAGCTTAAGATAACACTTCTTTAACTTTTCTGAGATTGGTGTCCAATTAAAAATGAATTTTTATCAAGTAGAGTCAGTAACAGTAAATTCAAGGAAAGGGCAAATAAAAATTGAATACAACTTTATCTTCTTTCACCAAGTACTACAAGAAATCAAAGAAAATTGAAACTAGGCTTTCTAATTTCAAATTTCCAGCTCCTTTCAACCTATTCCCATCCAGAAATACAGAGGGGGGCTGGGCTTGCTCTTCCAGAGCAAATGCTAACTTAAAACTGTTTCAAAGTAGCCCTGTTAACCTAACAGTGGAAAATATCAGAAAGAGGCTATCAGGATCAGAATGAACTAGGGTCACGCAATCAAATCTCACTCATTAGTAATAAACGTCAGCTAACCTTTCTAAGTGCCATTCAAGCATCCCTGGTGGCACCTTGGTTAAAGTGCTTTGGTTGTGAAGTGAAAGGCTGACGGTTACAACTCACCAGCTTCAACTCCACAGGGCAGCCTGCTGTCATGAGTGCTTACAGCCTTGGCAGCCTCCATGGGGCAGTTCTACTCTGTCTCATGGAGGCAGGCACTGTACATCGGAATAGATGACAGCAGGAGGCTTCATCTGGTTCTTGTGGGTTTTGTTTTTTGTTTTGTTAAGTGCCATACACAACAGAAGAAAAGAAATTAACAGTGTAAGATACTAATGAGTAAGACAGCTTCCAGGACACCATTCTAGAGTCTAACCACTGAAGAATAAAGCACATTTTATCTGACTCTCAAACAAAAAGGCACAAAGTTTTAGTACAAAGCTTGATTAAATACAACTAATTCATATTTGAAAGAAAATTGCTACTATGCAAAAGGAAGCAGGTCTGACATACCATTAAGACTTCTTATGCATCTTATATCTAAATTTTTAAGCAGACTGTCATCCCGTAAGTCCAAATCTTCTGGAATAGTCTGCAGTGCTAATCTTGCAAACAAAATGTCAATCTAAAATGAAAACAAAAGTTACCATTTCATATATGTTAAAGTGTTCTTAAGGCATTTCTAGAAAACCACCACCTTCTCATCACGTATATTAACAATAATGTCCCAAAATGCCACGCATCACATTAATTCATATCAGAGGCATTTTAACCAGAGGTGTAAAAACGTAGTAATAAACAACAGAACTCAGATAAAACTCGTTGCATGATAATCATACTTAGTAAGTCTGGTTTACTAAATGTGTTTAATTCTCCACCTGTAGAAACTGTGCCCAAGTAGAAGGCAAATATCCTGATTATTTACCCCAAAACTATCTCTCAGTGAAAAGGGAGCTCCTGATGTTTGAGAAAACCTGTATGGTGGCACTTCATCCAAGTTAAGAGAAGAGAAGGGTACCTAGAACACATCATGCTTGGATCAGCGAAAAAGAGGAAGACCCCCAACGAGATGAACCGGCACAGTCAGGAGAGATGGACTTAAATGTAGCAATGATTGTGAGCAATGTTGGGACAGGTGCAGGCAATGTTTCCTTCGGTTGTGTACAGGGTCCCTATGAGTCAGATATGACTCTATGGCACCGAACAGCAAGAACGTATTTACAATAGTACAATATGAGGTCTCCAAGACTTAATTTTGATTAACAGGTTTTTGTTAAAAACTAAAGAAATCCTGGCCTTAAACAATCCGAGTTAAGACTAATTTCAAATTATTATAGAATCTGACTTTCCTCTTTAACAAAAAGGAAAGATTAGGGGGCAAAGAAGCAAAGCAGAATCAGTCATTATTACTCTTGGGGGCACATTTCCCAGTTCCAGAAAGTTTCATGCTGCTATAAACAAGCCTTCTTTATTTATAAGATCACCTTAAAGAGAAGTATCTTAAGCGCATGCTGTAAAAATCATTTCAACCTATGCCTAAAAACTGGGGGGAGAGAGGAGGACTGCTGACAGCTGTGTAAAAGGCGGACTTGTTGTATAGGACAAAATTCTCAATGAACCAGATTCCTAAATCCAGTAGCTCATCCAAGTTAAAAAGAAACAAAATAGTATACTCAGAGCAGCTGAGAAATCAAACGGACACTCAGTGAAGGCAATGATGTAAAACCACACAAATCGCAAAAAAATTATTCCATGAAATGGAAAAAGACAGTTCTAAAAGAACATTCTACAGAATATATGATTAAAAAAGTAACACACTAAATATTCTAAACTGCCATCACCATCCAAAATGTGCATGAGTTGTCTTTCCAGAGTGGGGGATTCATGATTTTCTGCCCCATTACTGAAGACAAAACAAAACAAGCGCTATATGCAAAAATAAATTGTTGGAAGTTTCCTTAACGATATGGAAAGTACACAAGATCTGTAAATGAAGCAACTCCCACTAAGTGGTTTGGAGCAGCAAACCAGTCCTAATACTTGTTAGTTCGATGTCTTTGCACCAAATGCTCATCACAAGATCAAATTGCTCTGTGAAAACAAGACCTAAGTAAACTGCATTCTTACTAAAATCACAACCGGAGGAACAAACAAGATGGCGGATCAGGTGGACGTATAGCAGAGAGCTCCGCCAACAACAACACAGAATACCCGACCAAG